TTCTCTTCTCTACCTCTCTCTGACTTTCAAATAAATAAATACTTTAAAAACAGCAAAAACCACATGTAATATAAATGTAAAAATGCTTAATAATCTCAAAGATGCTGGTTTACAATGTAGATGCTGGGTTTCAAGAAACGGAAAGGGAGGCACAGGGGTCGCAGGAGCTTAGTGTATTTTGACATCCCTGTAAACTACAGTAAGAATCACTCTAGGGTCTTCAGCCTAGCAGTTTAAATCCCACATTGGAGTGTCTGGATTTGGTACCTGTCAGCAGCTCCTGATGCCAGCTTCCTGCTAATGCAGACCATAGAAGGCAGCTGTTATAGTTCAAGTACCTGGGCCCCTACTACATAGGAAACCTATGTTGCTTCCCAGCTGCTGACTTGCAGACCTTTGGAGATTGAACCAGCGGATGGGAGCTCTGTGTCTGTCTCCCTGCCCCTCAATTTTGGTTTTGCTCTGGCTGCAGCAGTTCTACTGCCATTTCTATAGGTCACTGTACACTCTTCCGTTCTGAATTCTCTACGCATCAGAACTTTTTTGGTCTCTGTGCTAATCTTGGTCCATTTTAGGAAGCTTCGGTTCATCTCTGTTGCAAGGATTCCGTGATTTGTGGTTTGACCTGTCCTGACTCTGACATTCTTCCAAGACAAAGACCAGAGCCTGTCCCCAAAATATCACAGGTGACATAGAGGAAATGAGTTTTCCTTTCAGGTGCAAGGTTTTCCATATGGCCTTGGGCCATTCTAGGCTAGGGGCTGTGGCTGAAGCTGGATGTTGAAAAGTGGGTTAAGCCACTGCCTGTGATGCTGGCATCTCATATGAGCACTGGTTCAAGTATCAGCTGCTCCACTTCTAATCCAGCTCCCTGCTAATGTGCCTGAGAATGCAGAGAAAGATGGCCTAGGATTTTGGAACCCTGCCACCCATGGGAGAACCGGATAGGGTTCCGGACTCCTGGCTTTGACCTGGCCCAGCCTGGCTGTTGGGATCTTTCAGGGAGTGAACCAGTAGGTGGAAGATCTCTCTTTGCCTCTCTTTCTCTAACTCTGTAGGGTGTCTGAGTTTGAGTACTGACTCTACTGATTCCAGCTTCCTGCTAATGCAGACCCAAAAAAGTTTGGATCTGCCACCCATGTGGAAGATCAGGATGGACTTCTAGGTTCTAGCTTTGGCCTGGCCCAGCCCCAGCTTCAGCCATTGTGGCCATTTGGGGAGTAAACTAGCAATTGGGAGATTCTCTCTCTCTCTCTCTCTCTCTCTCTCTCCCTTTTGCTGTAACTCTGCATTAAAAATAAATTTAAAAAAATTTAAAAACAAAATGAGTTCCCAGGATAATGCAGTTGTGGGCATTTGGGAGAATAAACCAGCAGATGCAAACAAACACACACACACACTCTCTCTCTCTGTCTTTATATAATTAATTAATTAGTTAATAAAAGAAAAACGGTTAAAGTGAGGAAACTAAAAGGTGCAAGGTGACCTCATTCCTCTTTTGAATTTCTTTGAAACAGAAACCTGGTCTTTAAAGTGTCAGTTTTTTTTTTTTTTTTAAGATTTATGTATTAATTTGAAAGAGAGTTACAGAGAGGCGGAGAGAGAGAGAGAGAGAGAGAGAGAGAGAGATATTCCATCTGCTAATTCACTCTCCAACTGCCTGCAACAGCAGAGCTGTGCCAATCCAATGCCAGGAGCCCAGAGCTTCTTCCGAGTCTCCCATGTGGGTACAGGGACCCAAGGACTTGGACCATCTTCTGCTGCTTTCCCAGGTGCATTAGCAGGGAGCTGGATTGGAAGTGGAGCATCCGAGACTTGAACTGGTACCCATTTGGGATGACAGCACAGCAGGCAGCAGCTTTACCCGCTAAGCCACAGCACTGGCCCCAAAGTATTAGATTTCTCTACCTGTGGAATCTCTTCTCGACTAAACAGCATGCTCCTTGCTTTATATCTCTCCCAGTTCCCACTTAATAGAAGCTTTGAGCATTTGGTGCAATAAAGTGATTTTGTGAGTTCTCTCAAGAGGACCAGTCTCCAGAAGAGAGCCGGATGGGGCTGCCACCTGTTTCCATGACAAAATGCTGAAAATGACTCAGTCAAACCCCTTGCTGGGTTGCCCCCAATGACCCTTCCCACTTGACTCAGCCAAGTTTGTACACCCCGGTTGCTCATCTTGGACTTTTGGAAAGGAAGCATGGGAAGTGCATGAGTCTATGGCTCTGGAACCTCACGGAGACATTTCCCAGGGACCACCATTAGAGAATTGTCCTAAGCATTCGCCTTCTGCTAAAGAAGTTGAGGGAACATTCCAGGGGATGTTTGCTCAAAACACTACTCTTATCTTCAGCCCTTGCTGCGTGCTAAACAGACCTTGCACTCCACGCGAGGATGCAAGGGCCTGCCACCGTTGAAGCCCTGCAATAAAGCTGGGGAAACAGGACACACTCAGAGCAAGTCTCAACATGTCAGTGAGACACACGGCAATTCTACCAAGGAGAGGCAGACGCAGCACTACACTAGTCCCAGAAAGCTTGACTGAGCCTTGGAGAAAGGGTCAAATTTGATCGCCTAGAAAAGAAAATGTGTCGGAGAGCAGTGAATAGATTCATTTTAGCTGGAGCAGCTTTCATATGGTCACACAAAGTTGCAAAAGGTTTCCAAAGGCCTTGAATTCCAGACTTACAGTTTGCATTTTAATGAGTGAGCACTGGGAAGCCATTACGTATTTTGAGCAGGTGTGTGGATGTGTAACTGAATTTTATAAAGGCCTCTGGAGGCACAGGAGGCAGGGAGGGGGAGGGGGTTGGGGGAAGGGGCTGGAGGTTAGGGGGGTGGGGAATGGTAGTGGTAGAGTCTGGGAGTTAGGAGGGCTGGTTAGGGAAAACTACAATAGTTTAGGAGAGGCTTTTGGACCAGTGAGCTATCAGCTAAGGTGGTTGCAGACAAAAGGAAACAGGGCCGGGTGTTGTGGCATAACGGGTAAAGCCTCCAACTGCGAGGCCAGCATCACATATGGGCCCTGGTTCACGTTCTAGCTGCTCTGCTTCTGATCCAGCAGAGTGCTTAGGCCCAAGTGCATCCACGTGAGAAACCTGGAAGAAGCTCCTGGCTCCTAGCTTCAACCTGGCTTGAATGGCTGTCGCTGCCATTTGAGGAATGAACCAGCAAGACCTCTCTCTAACTCTGATTTTCAAATAAATAAATCTTTAAACAAAGACCCCAAATAACAATACAGGGAATTCAAAGTCCATATAGGGGCTGGCACTGTGGCGCAGCGGGTTAAAGCCCCAGCCTGCAGTGCCAGCATCCCATTTGGGCACTGTTTCGAGTCTTGGCTGCTCCACTTCCAATCCAGCTCTCTGCCAGGGTATGGGAAAGCAGTAGAAGATGGCCCAAGTCCTTGGGCCCCTGCACCTACATGGGAGACCAGGAAGAAGCTCCTGGCTCCTGGCTTTGGATCAGCTCAGCTCTGGCCATTGTGGTCATTTGGGGAGTGAACCAGCAGAATGGCAGACCTCTCTCTCTCTGGCTCTACCTCTCTGTCTTTTAAATAAATAAAATAAAAGGTGACATATATAGTAAGGAACACAGCACTCTAGTCTGCAAATCTCTGTCTTGGAACAGTATTTGCATGATACACATTTGATTTTAAAATGTCCAGAAATACGTTTTTTCATGTCTATTTAATTTACTTGAAAGGCAGAGAGAGAGAGAGAGAGAGAGACAGAGAGAGGAGAGACCATCCATCTGCTTGTTCACTTCTCAAATGCCCAAAACAGCTGAGACTGGGTCAGGCTGAAGTTAGAAGCTGGGGAACTGCACAAAGGTCTCCCAAGCACTTGAGACAGAATCTACTGCCTCCCAGGACCATCAGCAGGAAGCTGGATGGGAAGCTGGGACTCCGGGCACTGGGATCTGGGAGGCAGGCTTTGCAAGGCATCTTCACCTGCCTCTGGAACACGTGGGGCCTCCAGTTTCTCCATGGCTTCCTGACATTTTTTTTCCCAGGAGAGGGAGTTGGAACGAAATCTGCAGCATTACCTGCTGAATGACCTTGGGCAGTTCACTCTGTCCCTGGAACATAAGGAACTTAATTATCTCATTTAAATCAGATAATGAGGCTTTACCTGCCAGAAGGCAGAGAGCTGGAATACATGCTCTCTTGGTTATCTTCAACTCCATCAGTGACTATCTTTTTTCTTTTTAAAAATTGTTTTTAGTTTTTCTTCGGAGCTCTCCCATATTACCCTCTCCCATTCCAGTCTGGGGGCCACTTAAGCTCCCCCAGTGCCTCTGGGAGGCGTGGGTAAGGCTGAAGAGCAAGGGTCTTCAAATCTGGCCTGGAAGGTAGGATCACGTGTCCGCCGCCTCCCAACTGAGGTGTCCTCTGCTTTCCTGGGGGGCTGCAAAGGAAGGAGAGGCCCGGAAGCCAGTGCCTCGGGTGTCGCAGCAAGGAGCACCTGCCTTCGCCTCACCTGCCCCGGAGCAACACCCGAGCTACTCGGACGCTCGGGGTTCAGAGCGGCTCGCCTCCTCGCTCACCGCGCTCATACCGGGTCTATACTGGGTACGCGTTCCTTGGCCCCATCCTTCCCAGCCCCGGGGGCTGCCAGAAAGGCATTTCCCGCCCGGCTCGGCTCCTCGGGGGCGGAGCCCACCTGTGTCCGGGGGCGGGGCCTAGGCGGAGGCGGGACAGGTGGGCGTGAGGTAGTGGCCCAAGCTGGAGAAAGAGCCCGAGCTGGCCGAGGCGAGAGGACAGGCGGGCGGGCGGGCACCCGGGACGGCCTCCTTTAGGGTAGCCGGAGAGCGCGAGCGGCGCAGGAGGGAAGCAGCGAGCCTGCGACCGGAGAGGCGCGGAGAGCGGAGCCCGGCGCCGAGGACGCTCGGGGAGGAGGGGCCGCCTCTGCTCCCGGAGGGGACCTGCGAGGCGCCCGCGCGGCCGGGGGACCCTCGGACGCCGAGCATGGGCCGGCGCCCCGCCGGGAAGCGGCCGGGGGCGGTGGCCTCGGCGCAGCCCTGAGGCTCCGCGCTGGGGCTCGGGACGCCCGCGGCGCTGGGCCCGGCTGGGGCCGGGGGCTGGGTGCGGAGCAGTCCGCGCTGGCGGCGGCCGCCTCGGCGCCGAGCCATGGGGAGCCCCCGGGCCGCGCTGCTGCTGCTCCTGCGCCCGGCCAAGCTGCTGCGGAGGCGCTTCCGGCTGCTGCTGGCGCTCGCCCTGGTGTCCGTGGGGCTCTGGACTCTGTATCTGGAACTGGTGGCGTCGGCGCAGGTCGGCGGGAACCCCTTGAACCGGAGTGAGTAGCACGGGGCTGAGGGCGGGCGCGGAGGCGGGGGAGGCAGCCCGGGGCGCCCGCGCTGGGGGACCCGCCGCGCCCCCTCACACCCGGCTTCCAGCTGGGTTTCCTCTCCAGGTGCCCGGCGCCGCCCCGCGTCTCCGTGGGGAGAGAGGGGGGTCGGGGCGGCCGCGGAGCCCCAGCGCCGAGTCCCCGAGTCCGGGCCTGCCCGCCGGGCCATGTGGGGCCGGGACATCCTCCCCTGTCCTCGGGGGAGATGCGCCGGGAGAGGCGCTCTGCGGCACGGCGGGACTCTAGCGTCCGGAACGCCCCCGGCCGCACCCCCACCCCCTCCCGATGGGGCGCGCTCCCGCGGCGGGGCCCAAACTTTGCCCACCTCGCGCTGGCCGGCTCGCCCGGGCTCCCCTCCCGCCGCGTCTTCACGGCTGCCTTTTAAACAATGCCCCCCGAGAGCCTCCTCTCTCCTCCCTCTTCCCACGCAGCCCTCCCCTCTTCCTCCTGGTACCCCAGCTCCTGCCCTGGCCACCCTTCCTTCTGGTTTTCTGAAGCCTCCTTGGGACCCCCGCAGAGTCAGCCAAACTCCCCAGACCTTGCTCGAGGAGACAATGGGCGACTTGTGGGCTGGCAGCGCCCGGATTCCTGCTTCTGTTTTATCTTGGCCAGACCACTTAATGCTTCTGTGCCTCAGTTGCCTCCTAGGATAATAACGGCATGCCTCAGTTTCCTTTTTTGCTTCGGGGGGCGAGGCTGTCCCAGGTGATTTGCAGTGTACTCTCGGCGGTCGGTGGCAGAGGCTGTAAAAGATGAGTTTGAGAGCTGGAAAAGGGGTGAAGGAATGCCCCGGACTCGCAGGTTCCTTTCCCAAGCTCAGGGGGGCCCAGGACCAAAGCGCCAGCGCCGGCTTCCCTGCTGGCGCTTCTGCCTTGCAGGAAGTTCCGACCACCGCAAGCGATGAAATTGCTGCCCTGGGCTTGGGTCAACTCCTTTACCCTGAGGTGGGTGTGGTGCTTTGCCTCCTCCTGTGGCCAAGAAGAGGGAATTACTAGGGACAGAAACCGAGCTGGTTCAGGTTGGAGATATATATTTATGGCCTAACCGCTCACTCTGGCAGTGGCAATAATTCTGGCTGTGAGTTGGGAAAGGAGTGTGTGTGTGGGGGGGGTTGTTCCAATCTTAGCTCTGCCACTAACTAGCCAGGGACTCACGGGAGAAAGCAAGTCAGCAGTGCAGGTAAAACGAGGAGTTTGGTGTAGAAGATCTTCAGGTCCCTTTTGGTCTGGATCCTGAGATTGTGGAACCCCCCACCCCCCCACTGCCACTTGAGCCTTCTCAGGACCAGAGAGCCCAGCACGGCACGAGCAAGGCCATGCTTAGCCTGTTCCCCAGCTCTGCACAGGAGGGTTCTGTCTGATGACCAAAGTCTGCCTTCCCACAGCTGGCTCTTTCCTCCCCTGAGCCTTGTTCATCTCCCCAAAGCCATGAGGTGACTGCTCTTCCAACACCCTGGCCACTCAGATCCCAGTGGAGGAGCTTAGCCGGAGTGTGTGCAGGGGGGAAGCCTGGGAGAGCTTCCTGTGCCCTCCCGGGGATGCCCCTTCCCAGTGAAGTCATCGTGTGTGTGTATATGTGTGTGTGCGTGTGTGTGTGTGTGTGATAGTCGGTGGGATCCTCTGTGCAAAGAGTAGCTTTGTGGCCCCAAAGCCGGTGACCTTCTTTCCTCCCCTTCTCCGCTTTTCCTTTGCCTCACCTGTGCTTTCTCCTCCGAGACCTGGAGCCCCTTTGCAGGCTCACCACCTCGTGCTCTGGCTCCTCACGCCTCGCTCCTGTTGCCCACCTCATCCTGAGCCGCCAGTTCTTGGGTCTGGTGACTCTCCCTCCTGCATGAATTTACCTGAATTGTCTTGGTCTTTTGTTTCCATTTCCCAAAGGACCTTTTCTAGAAAAAATGGTCGCAGCTTCCCCTTCCGGAACAGGCTTTTCTGTGGTGCTGTGTGTTTTACCCAGAGGCTCAGCCTGGCCCTGCTGGGTCACTTGTTTCATCTTCTCAGTCTCTTAGAACCTCCAAGTCCATCTGCCAGGCACTGGGCTTCCCGCCGAGTTCTGCCCCTTCCATGATTTTCCCGTGGATGAACTTCACATTGTGGTTGTGATTTCCGACTCCCATCCTTTTTTGTTGTTAAGAAGCCTGGACATCTTTTATCAGAACTCCCTCCTGTCCCATGGGGTTTTACTGCCAGCTCAGTTAGCCTCTGGAGGGAGAGTGGGGGATAGGGAGGTAGGAGGGGGCTGCTCCCCTTTCTTCCTGCCACCCTGGGGCAACAGCAGCAACCCAGCCAGTAAAATGGGCCCTCCCAGGGCTGTGCTGGGAGGCTTTGGCCACAGCCCCCATCTTGGCTCTGCTTCCCAAAAAGCCGCCCTGCCCCTCTTCCTAGCCAGCTCTGCCAACTCACTCCACCACCAGCTTTCCTGTCATCCGAAGGCCAAGCCCTGTCCCCAGGAACCTTTCATTTGCCTGCCCCTGGGTGAGTGGCACATTGATCCGGCTGAAAGAAGCGCATGGAGAGACGACGCTCGCAAGCTGTGGGGTGGGAAAGTAATGACAGGGGAGCCGGCTTCCTGCTTCATCTTCATGAAATAACCCAGTATTTTAAGATACACATGATGTGCCATTTGGGCTCCGTGTGTAGAAAAAGATAGAACCACAATTGGAGTGGCTTCGAAGAAAAACAGCCAACCAAAACCATTAACAAGTAGCAAATGGGTCCCGTGGATAAAAGAATTGGAGCTGCTCACTCACTGACTGATGCAAGTACTTATTTAGTGCAGGCCTCCCGCAGGGCATGGTGCTGGATCACTCAGATGTGATAACCAGCGTACTGCGTCCCCGCTCTCCAGCTGAGGCGCCCGCATAAAAATAATCAAATGGCGAACCTAGAGGTTTCTTTCCCTGACACTCCTGGAAACAGGGCACAGTCCTTTCCACTAGTAGTTCATGGACATGGGGCGTTTGAGACCTTGAGGAGTTACAGCAAGATTTTGATGGATGCAGAAAGAGGGGGTTATTCCAGACGAAAGGAGCAGCATCAACAAAGACTAAGATCAAGGACATGGTATGTGGGAATGCCAGGGACGCAGAGGTTATGAAGGAGAATGTAGGGTTGGTGCTGTGTTATGGAAGACTTTGAATGACAAGCTTGGAGCGTGGTGTTCATTCCGCAGAAAGCCGTTGAAAAGTTTAGAATAGGTTAACATTGTAGAATGAAACAATACTTTGGGGATGGAATAGGGGTCCAGGAATAGTTCCTGAAGGTCTCTTCTTGCTGTGCCTGGCATTAGCCCTTTAGCTGCTGGGCTATGACACTGTCGGGGGCGGTCTGGGGGATAGAAGGGTACCGAGAGGGCCTCAGCAGTCACCATGTACCAACACATACCCAGGTATTTTCATGTTTTTGTAACTGATACAGCTATCCTGGGATGTGCTGGTTAAAGAGCAGCCCTGGGAACAGACTATTATTGGAAGTTAAAGATTCTCCATTCTGGCAGGTTTTAACAAGCCATACCCATTTGTTCAGATTGGATTAGCTAAGGTTCTGCCTGAAGGCAGAGGTCTGAGCTGAAATGGTCTCTAGGTTCTTTGCTCTGTTGTTGACTTGCTGCTGGGACCAGCTTGGTGCCAGAGCCAGCCAATGACCAGGGTGAAAAAGAGAGTGTGTTCTGACCTCTTTGTAGATCTCTCCAGGCTGGGGCTGGAGTATTCCCATGTCAGCTGAGGTTCCTATGCTGAACCCCAAAGGGCTCTCAAGCACAGGACTAATTGGTGATGTTGGCTGCCTTAAACCGACACCACATCCTTCTGGTTGGCCCTTGCCCTTCCTGATTGACTGGAGCGAGCTGTGCAAGGCTCACCCACAGATGTCAGGCGGCCACTTGTGCCCCGGTCACTACAGCCATTCCAGTGGGAAAGGACATAATCCCTCCAGCAACGGAGGTAACTCAGGGCAGAGCCGTAATCTGAGACGCAGGCAGGGAGAGAGGGAGAAGCAAATGAGACAGATGTGTGGGCCGAGCAGGGATAGCGTGGCTTAGGGTTGAAATTCAGAGCAAAGGCAGGCACAGAGCTTCACGTGGGCCAGGCCGTGTTTCCTCTGCCCGGGCTGGCCTTGCCTCCCTTCCCCATAGAACGCTGGGCTCTGTTTCCAGTGCCCCACTTCCCTCTCTTCACGCTGAAATGCTGGTCACCTGGCTGCTGCGGGTATCTCCCAATCGGTATTGAAGTCTGGGTACATGGTAGGCACTCAAGTAAGTACTTACTGGCTATAAATGGTCAGCTCTGAACTTCAAAGCACCTGATCTTTTCCACTGGCAGATACTCTGTTTATCAGTGGCTGATCCAAGAATAGCACCCAGGAATTCTCATTCCTGGTACCATAATCCATATAAACAACAATGGCCTTTGAATACAAATGAAAAAGGTAAGAACTGGCCAGTGATGCTTTTTTATTTTATTTTATTTGTTTTATTATTTATTATTGTTTTATTATTTTGCTTTAATTTTATTTAAGTTATACAAGTTTCATGTATTTCATATACACAGATTTAGGAACATAGTGACACAAGGGTGCTTTTTTGCTCCGTGTGTTTTCTCTGGGCCCACCACTGCATGCCCCAGAAGCACAGCATTTGATGGGAGGCCTCGCCACACGTGTTGGGCAGCTCTCCTTTCCGGGGTCTCGTCAGTCCCTGTCCTGAGGTGGCCAGCAGAATTGCAGCAACACGTCTGCCGTCGTGGTCCTGCCCCCCACCCGGGCAGCCTCAGTGTCAGTTGAGGTCCAAGCTGCCCTGCTCAGCGGTGCTGGAGCTGCCTGCCACTCCCTGTCCTGGGAGCTGTTCCCGGCATGGTTTTAACTGCTTTGCAGCACAAGGTCTTCTGAAACAACCCGTTTTGTGCTGGTGTTGGGAGAGGCTGGTAGGTGCGCTGCAGTAATTTTCCAGGCCATAGA